CCTGAAAGGGAGAATGAAAATTAGCCTCGGATGTGTACGACCCTTATAGTGGCGCGCGTGATTGAAAAACTGGTTTCGCGCCCCGCGGGGGCTATTTATCAGCCCCGGGGGGGGGCCTTTTGTTAACCACAAGCTGACATTACTGGTCGTGGCTATTGTTGCTGGTGTTGTGATTGATTATTGTGTGTTGTTTGTTGCTTGGCGTTTCGTGCTGATTGTGATGCTTTGTTTGCGCGGCCCGCGACCCACCCCACGCCCGTCTCCTCACTCTTCTCCGCAACTGCGGTGTGCTACAGATTATTCAAATATATTCGAGATCACCCGCGTGACCAGCCCCCCCCCCTCTGCTTCGGGGATCTTCTGACCAGGGTCAATCAAGACCCGGGTCAGTCAGGCCTTGCAGGATCCTGCAAGATCTTGCACCCAAGCCTGAGCCAATGCGAAAGATCCTGCCAAATCCTGCAGGATCCCGCACCAAAACCCGGGTCAATGCGACCCTGGCCCTGCAGGATCCTGCAAGATCGGGCGCTCTGGCTGACCCCCGTTTGCATTGAACCCCGTCTCAAGGCTCCCGACTGCTCACGTCAGGATTCGCTCCAGCGCCGTCTGGGAGAATCAGCCACTCCTGGGCGACCTGAGACGGCGGCGTCGCGAGTCGTTCGACGTGGTCAGCCCCCTTCCCCCCCCCCTCCCCGTCACGCCCGTGGTCGCCAGGGGAGAACTAGGACAGTCTCGGGGGAGAGAGAAAGACAGCGAGAGAGAGAGAGAGAGAGAGAGAGAGAGAGAAAAATGCAGAGAGCGACGTGGGGTGCCCGCCCCCGAAACGGAGCGATGCCCGCGGGGGGTGACGAGGCAGCGGGGACCTGCTGTGACTGCACGGCTTCTTGGGGCTCGGGCAGGGGCAGCCGGCATGGAATCGCGACGCCGAAAACGGGGATCGAACAGAGTCGGGCTGGTCAGAGGCAGCCTCGAATCGGATCGATCGGCTCGAGAGAGGGGACCCCGTCGCTCTCCGAGGCCGCCTCGGGCGACCGGGGCCTCTGAGGCTCGCAGAACGGTCCGTCGCCACATGGCTCCGAGACCCCCGGGGAGAGAGGCCGAGGCGGTGAGCTCCGCTCCGAGGGGTGGGAGTGAGGCGAAGCAGCTGCAGAAGCCACCACCAACTCCTCCCTCCCATTCCCCCTAGTCCTCCTCCTCCTCGTCATCATCATCAGCTTCTTCTTCTTCATCATCATCATCATCATCATCATCATCATCAGCATCATCATCAGCGTCATCATCAGCAGCAGCATCATCCTCATCACATCATCATATGATCATACCATCAGATCATCAGCATCATCATCATCAGCATCATCAGCATCGTCAACATCTTCATCAGCATCGTCTGTGGTGGAACGCGCTCCGACTGTAGTGGAACGCGCTCGATGAGCTACTCCAAGCCTCTTTCTCCTCCTCCGCCTCGTCCTTCTCCTCCTCCTGCTCCTCGTCCTCCTCGTTCTCCTCCTCCTGCTCCTCGTCCTTCTCCTCCTCCTGCTCCTCGTCCTCCTGCTCCTCGTCCTCTTTCTCCTCCTCCTGCTCCTCGCCCTCCTCCTGCTGTCAACCGCTCCTCCCCCCCCCTCCGCCCGCCGACTGCCCTCCTGCCTCCTGCGAGCTGGGGAGGGGAGGGGCGAGGTGGATCCGCATGGCCGGCCTCCTTCGAGATGCTCCTCCTCCTCCTCCTCCTCCCCTCCTCCTCCTCCTCCTCCTCCCCTTCCTCCCTCCTCCTCCTCCTCCTCCTCCTCCTCCTCCTCCTCCTCCTCCTCCTCCTCCTCCTCCTCCTCCTCCTCCTCCTGCGGGTGGGCGGGGGGGGGACCGGCGAAAAGGGGGTACCGTAGACCTGGAGTGAGGGGCAACGATAGGGGGGGATAGGCAAAGGGAGGATTCCTCGACCTGGAATCGGCGATGCATCGCCGATGGATCGGCGATAGGCCCCCGACCGCGAATCCGCACCTTCCTGGGCGGGTTGGGGCTATCGGGCCCCTATCGGCGATCAGTGGGCGATTGGGGGTCGATGCATCCTCTCTTATGCCTATCCCCCCCTATCGCTGCCCCAGATGGAAGCGGCGATACATCGCTGACAGACCGGCGATGAGCCCCCCAGTTGCGCGAGACCTCGAGTTCCTGGGCGGGGGGCAGGCCACCAGACCCCCATCGGCGACGAATGGGCGGTTGGGGGTCGATGCGCCCCTAGGTGGCCACAGGTGAATGTTGGGGGTTCACTCTGCTCAGGAACTCCCGAACGAAGTGAACCCCCAACCCCCCTCGGAGATCGTGGGGGGTGGGGGTAGGGTTCACATGTGTCCCATCCGCACCCGTCGGTCGGAAGAAGCGGCCAGAAACAGGAAGTCGGAAAGCGCTGCAAGTAGATTGGGCCTCCGCCCGCCCCCAGAAGAGCAGAAGAGGAGGGAAGAGGGAGAACCGCTCGAATCTTGAAGTAGGGAAGCGCCTAAAGCAGACGGGGATCTGTGGACTCAGAAATACCTACTTTCAAACACCGGCGTGCATCGCTGCCCCTGATCCGCGCGGCTTCAGGGCCATGACTCGGGCTGGGTCGGGCATGTCCTCCTGCAGGCGGATCTGGGAAGAGAAATACAGAAGAGCCAAACACATCCAAAAACGATCCAGCACAGAAGAAACATCGTCCCAGACAATGTTTAGCCTGAAGGGGCCCTGGGACACACACAAATAAATACACACAAATAACAAGATTCCCGATATGTTTATTTTTGTTTGTTGGTTTTTGTCTTCCCCCCACTTCCCATATTTTCTTATAGTTTCAAGGGAATCGTGTCTGTTTGTTTGTTCCCCCCTGACCAACTATTGACATTCCTCCTGTGGAGGGACATTTGAGCAGGGACCGACCGTCCCCGCATTCCTATGGTCCTACCACGAAATGTTCTTAGAGCCCACACACGTTCTAAGAACAAAAACGATGTTCTTAGAACATAAGCCTGATGTGATAAAACAAGACTGACTCCGCCAGACATCTTCTGCGAAGACTTCGTGGAAACCGCAAAAGGCTATCAGAACATTGCTTGGTGGGGCTACAGGCGAGCCAGGACGCTTCGCCACTGCTTGAGACATGCCCGACTCAAGACCCGGGCCTCCACTGGCCGGCCGGGACGCTGCGAGCCCCCCTGCCCCCCCCCCCCCGCACGCCCTCGGCGAGGCGCGGCGCGCCGGCCGGCGCCGGAGCGAAGAGCGCGCCGAGGCGCGCCGAGGACGCCCCGAAGAGCTCGAGCCTCGGACATCTCCGCCCGCCCCCCATCGGAGAGCCCGCACCCCCCCGGCCATCGCTCGGACATCCATTCCCTGCGTTTTTGTTGCGGTTTCGTGCGCGGCTTTTTTTCGCCAGATGATCAAGGATGCTCCTCGATGGTCCTCGCCGAAAGAAAAGTGCACACGTCCGAGCGATGCCAAGCCCCAGCGCTGCCCTCGAGGAGGACGGCGAGGGCGGGGCGCCGCCCGAAACGGAGGCCGACGACGGGGAGGGCAGGGAGCCGCCCGCCGCCCGGCCCCCCCCCCCCCCCGACGCTCCACGAAGACGTCGCCCAATGTCGGGTCGGGCGAAGGGGGGGGGGATAGCAAAGGGGGGGTACGAGAATCCGCTCTCGCAGCCGATCTTCCCGGCGCTGGAGGCGGCTATGTATCCAGGAATGGGCCCCTCGGTGAGGCCGAAACCAGCTGCATGCAGCAAATTTCGTACCCCCCCCTTTCCCAATCCCCCCCTTTCGTCCGGCCCGACAGTGGCACGCGGGGGGCGACCACGTGAGCAGACCATGCGGGAGGCGCCTGCTTTGGGTCGAGCCCCCAGCGTCCATAGCGGGTCAAAGCCGGCATGGGCATAGACTTTGGGCGGTCCGCGCGGGCTTCTTGGATCTGTACTGGACCGCCGCCTCTCGCGCGCGCAGCGCGCCAGGGGCGGCGCCGGAGGCGCCGCCAGGGGGCCCCAGCGCAGATCCAGGAAACCCGCGGGGATTGTCAAAAGTTGATGTTTGTGCAGTTGTTATTCTTCGGGACAAGGGAACAAGAGGCTGCGCGTTTCGCCCCCCGCGGGCCCTTCGGGCCATGCCGCCCACGGTGCAGCATGGAACGAGGGCTCCGTCGACGATGGGCACGGAGGCACGGAGCGGAGAGATGCGGCGCAGAGTGGGGGGCTTTTAACCTTCGGGGGCACAAGCAGTGCCAGAAACAGAAGCAGTCGGAGGTCCGCCGGATCCCTCGGATCGGCAGTGGATCGGGTCGGGCGAAAGGGGGGGATAGCAAAGGGGGGGGCTTGAGAATCAGCTCACGTAGCTGATTTCCCCGGCGCCTCCCGGCGCCGGAGGCGGCCATGTATCGAGGAATGGGCCCCTCGGTGAGGCCGAAACCAGCTAGCCGAAGCATGCAGCAAATTTCGTAACCCCCCCTTTCCCAATCCCCCCCTTTCGTCCGGCCCGAGTGGAGCCCCCTCCCTGGCGCGCCAAGGGCGCTCGGGGCACCGCCGGAGGCGCCGCCGGGAGGCTCCAGCGCCGCTCCGAAGAACCCGCGCGGAGCGGGCCTCCGGAGTTGTGCGCTGGCGGCCGGGCTTGGCTGAAGAGGACGCGCGAGAGGACACAGGGCCCGTCCGAGGACCACGCTGCCCCAGGACGGCGGAGGACTTGGGACGCGAAGCGCGGGGCACAAGGGTACTCCAGATTTCGTAATAAAAGGGAGGGGGTCTGGACCCTCCAAGACAAACCATTTCAGACCTCCCCCGTGGGAGAACCCTCCAAAACATCGTCCCCGGACCCCCCAGGCCCTCCAAGATAGCCTGGAAGAGACCCCCCCCCCGAAATGAGACCCCCCTCCCTTTATTACGAAATCTGGAGTATGCACCCCAGATCTCCAAGGGTCGACCTGCCAGTGAAAGTCGACTGTATGTCAGTGTCTATTCCATCGCAAGCTCGCTGGAGGGTTCAAACATCACACCCAGGCGCCTCCATGAGCACGTAGTCGCGGGGCACGCACGGGGCGATGGATTGGATCACGCGGGAGGCGCTCGCGTCGTCGAGGAGGGCCAGCCCAGTGTTGAAGTAGGGCTTGTCGTTGGAACCCGACCAGCCCTTGCTCTTCCACACCCCGCTCTTGACGGCCCACTCCTCGGGGGAAGATGCAGGACGATCCATGAATCGGACCCGACCTGACCTGACGCAGACTGAAAAGTTACTCATGCTACAGGCTGCCTGGTACAGTGGCTCTGCATCACTCTAGCTCTGCATCTATCGAGGGCAAGTCCCACTCCCTCGCAGGAGCGAGCGCGTCACCAAACGCTCTGGCCTGCGGGGGGGGGAGGAATGCGGAGCTCGGCTTGGTTCGGTTCGGCTCCTGGCATCTGCTCCGGGAGCGAGCCCCGGGGAGGGGGAACGGGAGGGAGCAGGCCTGCTCAGGGGGCGGGCGGGGCATCTCGAAGCCCTCCGGCTGTCCGAGAGGCCGTTTGCCTCACCGTCGGGGCGTCGACCTAAGGAACCCTACATAAGGAACGAGACCCCTTTTTCCAGAAGTTACACTCCGATGTCCCATCGAAAACCTAAGGACAACCTGAGGCAAGCTGCGAAACACTTGAGGAATGCGGAGCCCCTCCCCAACGAGGAGGGTTCCTTCTTCAGGGCCCCGACTGTACGCGTCTTCGGAGAAGGCCCGCCCCCTCTGCCTTCCTCGCTGGGCTCGGTTGCAAGACGGCTGCCTTTCAAACAGCAGGCCTCAAGATCATCCGACGCCGAATGTGAGGCAACGTGCGCCCTGACTGCGTGGACGTGGGCGCGGCGACCTGCGCCGTCCCACCAAGAGTCCCAAAGGTGCTTCTGAGGGTTGCTGGGGTCCAGGGCGAGTCCAGGATCCAGCGCGTCACCTATCGAGCCAAGACAGTCCGAGTGGACCACAAGCGGGTCCTCCGAGCTCCCTGCGGCGACCCGAGAGAGGACATGAAACGCAAGTTCTTCTCCGTCCCTCGCCGACTGCGTGGAGGCCAGATGTGAAAGAGCAAAGCAATAAACAGCCCCTTGAAGTTGGCCAGCTGTCCGCCTGTACTATGGGCCAGCCCGCTCTGCTGAGCCAGAGAGAGACGTGTGGTGCGCACTGCCGTCCACGAAAACAGCTCCAGACAACCTCCGCACAACAGGCACCCCGACCCATCTCCGAAGGTGCTCTGGCTGGGGCACGGCACTGGGGAAGGAACGGGAGGGGGTGGGGAAGAGGCAGCAACAGAAAAGCTCCGCACGCACCTCACCGCATTTGTCCCTGACTCTTCCAGCGGCTTCCTGATTCTACACCCTGTGGTCTGTCCTGCTCAGGTGCACGTACGCAACAACAGCTGAATGCCTGCGGGCACCGCAGAGCTTGGTTTCGGTCGGGCATGTCCTCCTACAGGCGGGCTTTGGAAGAACAATATAAAAAGTTGTCAAAACGTACCCAAAACAATCCAAACATAATGGACAAATCGTCCTGAGACTTTTTTGGGGGGTGATGATTTTCGAATATTCCTCCTGTAGAGGGAATCGGCCGGCGGTCGCACGAAACCCTCACTGGAGACCCAACCCTGCAAATCTGTGCGCGTGGTGCAACTGGGAGGGGAAGGGAGCCCGGGGCTCCGCAGCTTCTTCGTGCGCGCGGTGAGATCACCCTGACCCTGACGAGCGAAGTGAACCCCACCCTCCCCCTCAGAAATCGTGGGGGGTAGGGGTAGAGTTCGCATGTGGCCCCCTATCTGCTGGCCCGGGTCAATCCGGACCCGGGTCAGTCGGGCCTCGCAGGATCCTGCAGCATCCTGCAGGAGCCTGCAGTCAAACCCGGGTGCACCACCCGGGTCAGCGCAGCCCTGGCCCTGCAGGATCCTGCAAGGTCCGGCGCCCTGGCTGACCCCCGTTTGCATTTGACCCCCGTCTCTTGAGCCCCGTCTCTGGAGGCCACTCGCTGCACGGGCGCTGCTTCCTTTGGAACGCACAACGACATACGAGTACTATATGTCCTCCTTGGAGGCGCGCGTCCGACCCGAACATGTAGTATACCCCTATTGTAGTGCATCGTTTCCCGAGTGGTGTGGCCAGAAAGCGCCCGCCACGATGCATATACGACAAGATTTCTCGGTGCGCGCGTCGCCCCTGGGGGGGCGACGCGCACATAATATTAATATGCTGGGGTAACGCCGATCATTGGCGCACTCGCCGTTTCCCCTTCCCGATGCTCCAAGATGACCCCAGAACGGAGGCCTCCAAGAGGGGCCCGAGACGACCCAAGAGGGACCCAAAACGGCCCAGAAGGCTTCCAAGACGGCCCAAGAGGACCCCAAGTCGGCTCCAAGAGGGTGCCCAATCCTTTGAGAGCGGTCCTATGTTAAGAAGCCCCAAACATCAAGAACAGGGGCACGTGTCAGCAAATGTATCACACTAAGCCGCCCAGATCTATTACCCCTAATGTGAACACGGGGGCCTCAGTGAAGCCACGTATTCCATGTACCGTTGAGTTTGGGGGTTCTCTTGTTCTCGATGACTCGATGAATGGGGGGGTCCAACTGCCACTGGTAAGGCCTCGGCGATGGCCAATCGCCAGGCGGTGTCATCGCCCGACGTCGAGACGGTCTATCGGTCTCCGCAGGCCAAGCGAGCCAGCGCGGATACGCAGCACCCCCAGGATGAGGGGGGGGATAATGGTGTTCCTTTCGTGCACCTTCCGTGCTCCTTTGGGGCCCAAGAGGTGCACCAACCTGCACCCATCCCCCTCGCGCGTCGCCCCCCATCCCCCTCTGCGCAACGCCCGAGCCACTCGCCACCGGCCCTGTGGCCCAGGCGTGGCGCACGAGAAGCGCAGGAGGCAGACAGAGCACAAGCGGGCCTGGCTTTAGGTCGGGCATGTCCCCCTACTGGCGGATTCTGGACGAAACATAAATCACACCCAACACATATGTCTTAAACGCAAAAAGTAGACAGATCGCCCCCAAGCTGTCTGTGACAATTTTTGAACCTTCCTCCTGTAGAGGGACTGGCCCGACTGAAGCCCGGGTCCGAAGAGATCGTTTTCTCTGCCTCGGCGAGAAACCCTTTTAACTGGTGGGCGGGGGAGGTGCCGGCCGATGATCTGGCCCTTTCGCTCATGGGCGGCTGCACGGCTGCCTGCGCGCGCCAGTGCTGCGCACGCCCTTCGGACCAGCGCAACCGACAAGGTCAGGTTATGCGCGGGGGGGAAGGGGGAGGTCTCGAAGCCCCCCCTTCCCCCGCTTTTTCGGGACAGTCGTGCTCCATCCTTCTGCCCCCCCCGCCCTTTCCTCTTCCTCCTCGACCCTCTCCTCCTCCTCCTCCTCCTCCTCCTCCTCCTCCCCCTCCTCCTCCTCTTCCTCCTGCGCTCGTACCCATCGGACACGTTCGAGTTACTCGCCTACACTTTGACTGCTTCTACTGCTACTACTGCTACTGTTGCCACTTCCACTCCCGCTGCTGCTGTGAGAGCGGGGCGGCCTGGCAGGACGAATGCCCGTGGCCGACGCAGTCGGCGCATGCGGGCGCAATATGCGACGAATGGAGGAGCGGAGCTGTGGGATCAGAGCACGGGCGGCCTCGGACGAGAGCGGGCGAGGACAAGGATGGGCGAGAGTGAAAAGGTAAAAGGCAGCAACAGTGGTGGACAGCGAGTGGGGAGAGGGGTTCACCAGACCTAATCTTTCAATGGGGTCGTCGGGTAACGGGTGGCCCTGAAACTAAACCAAGATACCCCAAAATCTAGGACATATGAGATAATGAGCTTGCGAGTCGGTACAATTCGGACAAGTAAACATACACTGTGGACTCTGTTGGAACCGACTGTCCGTAGCCCAGGCACCAGCAAGTGTTTTTACTATAGCTTGCCGCCACGCTGGCGGACACTGTAAAGAAGCGCTCTGCACAGCAATCCAGTCGATACCTCTGATGCGGACGGGGGGCACATGAGGGAGGAGGTGGGGCAGGCGGGCCACGAAGGAGGGGGCGAGGAAGGGAAGGAACACAGAGGAAACAATCACATTATAAGCGGCTCGCTGGAGCTTCTTCGAACCTGAAGCTCGGCAATCAAGAGCGGCCTGTACTGCGCGTGCTCCGATCGGAGCTAGCTTCGGGTCTGAAACAAAACCACGGTACGCGTCTGCGAGTGTCAGCGATCGGAGGCTCGGCCCAAAATGAAGGGCCCCTTCTGTGGCGCCCGACATCTTCCAGGGAGAGGTGCACTCCAGCCTCCGAGAGGACCTCAACGGAACTGCGCCAGGCAGAGAACGTGCTGATTGACGATCGAATTAGAGACGCGAGACCGAGATCACAAATACATCGAAGCTTGGGGCCGCCCCAGCTTTCAAGAGAAAAGAACGCTTGTCGCGAAAGAGAGCAGTGAGGCATGTTAAACAGAGCCGCAAAGATGGCGTGTTCACGAGGGAGAACAGATTTGGGGGTCCGAAAGAACTGGGCGACATATCCCAAACAGGACACAGCACGGTTGTCGCACATCGCCGCGGCAATCGAGAAAGGTGTGCCAGCTCGGGAGATTTGGCCGGCCCGCAGGGACCATTTCGCGACGGGGGCGTCCCAGGAGGGCGGCGCGGCCGAAGGGCCCAGAAAGATCCCGAGGTACAAAAGCTTGGGCACCACCTGAAACTCGCTCCATTCTGGCAGATTGACCTGCAGCCAGGTCTTGTAAGCTGCAAGAACTTGGGGTGCGCATTCGCCTACTAGGGGTACAAGTTTACACTTTGGGAGCTCCAGAACTAGATTGGCCACCCGTTTCGACGCCCGAAAGACAGTATGTAAGTATCTAAGGTGTTTGATCTGCTTAATTACACTACCTACACCATCAGCACATAGTCGAGCTAGTCCGTGTCCGCGTCTTTCTATCAACCATTCGAAGTGAGCGGCGAAACCGTGCGAAGCGACAGCGTAGAGAGCGCCACTAGCGGGACACCCCTGGATAATACCTGATTCGATCATGAACATAAAGATAACGGTGGACCCGATCAGACCCCAACACGAGACTTCGGAGTAACTCGTTTCCAGGAACGCGTACAGGGGCGGCGGCAGGTTGAGCGCGCGCAGCATCAGGAAGATCCAGTGCTGTGAGACCGAGGGGAAAGCCTGCCCGTAGTCGAACGCCAGTAGAGCAGGCATACGCGTCCGTACTTCTGGCATCATGGATGTGACCCGAGCATGAGTATCGAGCTCAATAATGTTGCCCCCGAAGTTGCGGGAAGGGATGAAGCCCCGTTGGGGCCCATGAATAAAAGATGGCAGTTTGAAAGTAAGCGGCCTGATACACACCGACGTCAAAATCTTGCAGTCCGCGCTTTTCAAGCCAAGGGGTATGGTTCCGCTCGGGCCACGGATCACAACCTCTGAGTCCTCGGGCTCGTCGCCCTTGACCAGGAAGGCCCCCTTCAAGATGTTAAAGCCGAAGAGAGGGGGATTGCCTGCCAACACCCAATCCAGAAGCTCCGAGAGGACCTTGGAGCCCGAGGGGTGGTGCTTCCATGCTCCATAGGGAAGCTCGTCGGGACCAGGGGCACTGGGGGTGACTCTGGCGAGGAAGCGGGACATGTATCTTTCCGTTGGCGGTGGCAGTCCACTTGGGTCAACCTCTGGCTTGAACCTCTTTGCGCACGCGAACGCTGCGGTCTTGTCGACCTCCTTCTTGGCAAAAACCGGCCCCCAGTGCCGAGCAAGCCCGTGAAGAATACTGGATGAATCAGAAACAATATGATTGGGACCAAGCCTTGGCCCACGGAGCTGCAACTTGCGGTCGAACGGAGACCAAAGTTTGCAACGGACCTGGAGACTGCGCATCCGACGGGCCATCTGGGCCCTGACTTTTTCAGGAAGGTCCTCGTCTAGAAGTTTTTTTTTTTTTTTTTGCGGGCCTCAGCTCTGGCGGCGTTGAACATAGCGAGGTGCGCCTCGTCGGAAGCGGCCTTGAAACTCACGGGGTCGGCCACCGTGACCGCGCGCGCGTGGGCGTCGATCGACAAAAACTGCTTGCCGAAGGGGTGGGAGTACATTATCTTCTCGGCCAAAACGATATCTTGATTCCATGCGGCTCGAGCGATAGTACGACATGCTAGATATCGCGCGAGAGGGTCGAGATGTTTTCCTCTTAGAATAGCGCCCCGGGCAAATCTTGCGGCCTCGTGCTTCAGGTTTTTATGCAATTCAACTCGAAGAGGGGGCGATAAATCAGAGTCGTCGACTTCTTGTAACACCTTAGCGATGAACCTGGAATACTCTGGCCTTTTAAAGATATCCTGATGCATCTTCTGCTCGTGCGGCTTGGCCGCCACTCGGGCAGAGAACGTGGCGCTGATGGCGGCGTGGTCGGAGATGCGCGTCCTAGCAAGCACCTCAGGGTAGCCGTGGACGCGGGCACCTGTACACATCTGGGTAATGCACCATCCAGGTGCAGACGCAAAGATCCGATCCAGCTTCCCAAGAGTCCCCTGTGCTGCACAGAAGTGGGTGGGGTCGGAAGCGTCGATCTCAACGAGCTGTCCCAAGACGGTTCTCCAGGGTCCTCCAGAACGAGAGGGAGTACGGCTGGGGGTCGAAGGGGAACCCGGAGAGAGGTCATGGAGCACTCTGGGGGCCTCATCGGAGAAGTTGAAGTCCCCACCTACGAACACGAAGCCTTTGGTGGGGTCCTTGGACGCCTCTAGGATGTCCTGGGAGATAGCCTCTAAGATCTTCTGCCTCAGAGAAGTACTGGGCCCATGGTTGTGAATGTTGAAATGGGAAATCCAGACACCTCCTGGAAACAAAACTCGAACATTCAGGGCACGAGCGGGGACTAACTCGATCGGCACTAACGTCGGATGTCGCCGGCATCCGTGCGTCTTCTTAAAGTCGGGGAGGAAGGTGATCACCCCTCCAGCAGGATGCGGAGACGGAGGGTGGAGCGAGAAGAAAGCCTGGACAGGGCGATGTAGATGGTACAGCAGATCTCTGATTTCAGCCTCGGTACCGCGGGACTCCTGGATCCCCAAAATCGAGCCTGACCCCAACAGGGATCTGATGCATTTGATCTTCCTGGTTCTAACCTGCGGCCTGTAGCGAAACAGCGATTGTGCATTCCAGGTCCCCACCACCAGAGAAGTAGGTCCCGAGAAGGAGCTGCTCCACGCCGCGAAGAGCGGGTTAAACCTGCCACGCGACGGGCTCAGGCGGCCTGAGGATCTCGGCCAGGGCCTCTTCGATGTCCGCCTTGACGAGATGGAAGGCAGCCAGGTTCTCGGCAGCATACTCGATCTGCGGGAGCTCATCGCCAGCACGCGGAACACCACGGACGAGAGGTTTCCATTGGAGCGATACCTCGCCCTTGGCCTTGTTAATGTGGAAATGATGCTGTGGACACAGCGAGGAAAGAACACGTCTGATCTGCTTGGCGAGGATCTCTCGCTTGACTTGGGCAGGGCTCTTGTCGGCGGACACATAGCATTCGCACTGCACTCCCATGGCGTCGGTGGTTGAGAAAGCCTGCCACTGCTGCGCACTGATCTAGGAACTGCCGAGGATATGGTTGACCTTGCGTGCGGCGAAGTCCCTCTGGCCTTGAACTCGGAGCGTGAAACGTTTGCCAGCGGGCTCGCCCTCCAGCACAGCGTCCGTCTCCGACATGTTATTCTTCGCCAGGATTGGGGCCACGACAGACTGCTGCACGGCAGACTTGGTCGCGTAGTTCTTCGACCGAATGACCAGGATGGTGGGGTCGGGGGTACGGTCGAACGAAGGCGATGCCATTTCTTCCACAACTTCAGGGCGTTCTGTCTGCATGAGGCCGAGGAGTTCTTCCAGGTGCTTGACTTTTGCGGCCAGCAGATCGACCTTGGTGTTGGTGACCTTCTGCTCTCTTTCCACACCAGAGAGCCGAACTTCAACTTGCTTAGATAATTTGCCATATGTGTCCTTGACCGTGTTCGCCAAGGAGCCAATGGATGTTTGGATGGAGTTGATGGATGCCAGCAACTCGTCACGGGTCGTGTCGACGTAGGCTTTGAGGTCCATGTCTGGCTCTTGGAACTCTGAGCTGCGGGACCTGCTTCGGCCATCCTCAGGGCGCTGGGGGTCGCGCCACCTGCCACGGGCGCCGCGTTCAGCCTGAGGAGAAGCTGGACCACCAGTACCAGCACGAGGTTGCGACGGGAACGTAGGAGCAGACTCCAGCATGACGGCCAACGCTTGGCGTTCAGCTTCGGAAACAGGGACGCCGCCATCAGCATGCATTGCTTCGCTAATACTATGTATGAGCACCCACAGCAATGGAACGCGGAAACAGTAATGGAGCGTGCTTTGGCGCACGTCTGTTGCACGCGAGGACTGACCTCGGGAAGGTTCGGGCCTCCCCGTCGGCTTCGATAAAGGATCTAACCCCAGGGGGCAGGTTAGAGCCTTGAGCCAAAATGGCTACGGACCTCCTCCTCCTCCTCCTCCTCCTCCTCCTCCTCCTCCTCCGCGTTCTCGCCGGACCCGAGCCTCAAAGACCCCCCCCCGCAGGAGTCCACTTGCTGTGGCCCTGCGATCCGGACCGGGCAAAAACCAGAGCTGGAGGAGGAAAGAGGAACGGGTTGGCCTGGGTCCGGAGATCCAGGTCTGGAGAAGAGTGAGGGGGCCCTGGGACACACAAATAAATACACACAGACAAAAGGATCCCCCATATCTTCTTGTATTTTCTGGGTTTCTGTATTCCCCCCCCCCCCCACACTTCCCATATGTTCCCATATTTTCTGGGGAATCGACGGTTACTTGTTTTTCCCCTCCTGAAAGAGGCCAGGACACAGGATGCACCAGCCATCATGCGACAAGAGGAGCAGGAGGAGCAGAGCCAGGCAGGTGAGGATGCGGAGCAGGCGGAGAAGAGAACGGGCCCTGAAAGAGAGAGAGGAGGATGACGACCCGCTCCTCCTCCTCCTCCTCCTCCTCCTCCTCCTCCTCCTCCTCCTCCTCCTCTCCTCCTCCTCCTCCTCCTCCTCCTCCTCCTCCTCCTCCTCCTCCTCCTCCTCCTCCTCCCCGCCCCCGGCTCATTCACTTTGCGGTCGCTGAGCTCGGTGAAGGAGGGGTTGCCCTCCAGCCAGCCGTCGAGCCTACGCCAGGGCCCCTCCCCGCTGGCACATCGCGAGGGCGATCGAGAGGAGTGCTGATCCTCTCGCTACTGCTGCTTTTCATCCCTCTCGCCTCGCCACTCTGCTGCAACACTTGCCTTCCTGATTTTGACTCGCTGGCCCAACGGGCCAGATCTCCCATAACAGGTTTGGAGCACTTCTAGTTCGCGCGCGCGGTGCCGCCCCTGGGGGTCCCCAGACGAACAGGATCCTGGCCAGGTCCCGGCAGGGTCAACGCAAGGATACAGGAACTTCCTGGGGCGGTCTCCCGCACCCCCACGAGCGCTCCAGGAGCGCCCCGAGGGAACAAAAATGAGCTCTAAGAGGGCACTCCAGTCGAGATCCATGGGAGTCAGGCCCCAAAATGGCCACAAAAGAATGCCAAGAGGCTTCATGATATCTGGAAAATGACCCAAGACAAGACAATTCCAAGAACGGCCGCGAAAACCAACATTCATATATAGTTCCCTAAGATGTTTGAAATGTTGCCGTGTGTGCCTTTTCCTTGTCCATCTTCCGAGCTCAAGGCGGCCCAACAGACCCAAGAGACTCCCACGATCGCCCCAAGTCAGCCTAAAAGGCTCGCTGGATGGCCCCAGCACAGCCGAACTGGATGCTAGGACGGCCCAAGAGGCCTTTCAACAAGGTTCCAGAGGCTCCCATGAAGGCCCCAAGAGGGGGAATCCAAACTGTCGCGTCGAACCCATTCCCGAAAGATGGCCCCCGAGACCGCCAGGCCCCCAAGAGAACCACGGAGGTCCCCAAAGCCACCGACCCGCCGGCGTGTGCGAGAAGCTTTTCCACTTGAGTCGTCGTCGTCGTCGCCGCCGTCGCCGTCGCCGTCGCGTTAAAGTCGCCGTCGCCGTCGCCGTCGCCGTCTCCGTCGCCGCCGCTCCCCCCCCTTTCCCGGGGCCCTCCCCGTGAAGCGCTCCAATCAAAGCTCGCAATTGAGTCGAAGGGGAGCTCCTTCCCTTTGATCCCTTCCCACGCTGGGGGGGGGCCCCAGGAGGTGTCCAGGGTCAGACCTTGGGGGGGGGGTCCCAGGTCAGGACACCATCACCCCCAGGTTCGCGGAGCCCAAAAAGACCCCAAGAGGCCCATTAGAGGCCCCCAAGGCGGTCCACGAGAGCCCCGCATCGCCGAACGATCGGTCCAAGACTCCCAAGATAGCCTCCTGACGGCCCAAGAGGCATCAAAGACGCCCCAAATGATCTCCAAGAGAACTCCCAAGAGGGTCCCAAGAGCCAAACCTTATGGATGTTCCTTTGGTGTTTGACCGATCTTTGTTCTCGCCTTCTCGGCTTCCCGACGCTCCACGACGGCCCCCAAGAGCGCCCCAAGACGGACCCGGGACGACCCAAGAACGCCCCAAGAGGCCCCCAAGACGGCCCAAGAGGCCCCCAAGACAGCGCCAGGAGTGTGCCCCAACGGGGGGCCCGAACGGACATTTCGCGCCCTCGGCCCCAGGAAGATCCCAGGGGGCCCCAAGAGGCCCACAGGAGTACTCGAACCCACGTCAGCGTCGTCGCCACCGCCACCGCCGCCGCCGCCGCCGCGTCGTCGTCGTCGACGTCGTCGTCGTCGGCCCCCTTCAGGGTCGGCGGCGACAGCCGTAAGGCCTTTGCAATACCGCCAGGAGGCCTGCCAAGAGACCCCAAGAAGCCTCCCAAAAGAGGTGTCATGTCCACGACCCACTTTGGCCCAAAGAATGCCCCAAGAAGCCATTGGGAGGCCTCATCCTCATCCTCCCGTATTCCTCCTCCTCCTCCTCCACCGTCTCGCTCGCCACGAGTACACCTAAAAAAAGCACCAGTGATAGAATACGAACCGGCGGAATTAACGAAGCGATGAAATGCAGCTGATGAGTACGATGCAAAATCCATGGATCGGTGGAGGTGCCCTCCCCAACATTCGGCCAGTGCCGCCTCGCTCGGCGGCGGAAATCCGCGATTTCCCATGGAAACGGGACCCGTCGCGATCCACGCCCCCTTGATCCATGTTTGCGATTGCCTGACCCTTCTTCCCATTCGGGGTAGGGGTTCCCCCTTCCCCCTCCCCCCTCCCCCTGGGTATGAACGTGGGGGCATCCACCTCCCTTCCCCCCCCCTCACCCCCTCCCTCCAGACCCCACTTCCACCCCATCCAAAAGTTCCCGAAGAGCTCCCAACAAACTCCTAGAGAACTCTGGAGTCTGCGCCTACGATCCATACGCTTCACGGGATGCATATCTCCTTGCTTCTCCCGACACACCATTCGGCAACACACGCAGACAATGTCAACTCGCCCAGTGCGTCTGGATGGACGGGCTTGTGGGGATACCTCCGCGGTGGCGCGTCGGGGTATACATTTCGGTCGCAAATCATGGGAGCCTGATACACCACACCCTCTGAATTCCGTGTCTGGCTTCGATTAGCGTATGGTAACACATGGTCTAGCACAGATGTAGGGCAGATTACCTTTGATTTAGCTTCGATTTGGCTTAGCGTCGAATTGCGTCGACTCGCAAGAGCCAGACATAAAATGCTGGGTCGGGCGAAAGGGAGGGATAGCAAAGGGGGGGGTGAGAATCAGCTCACGTAGCTGATTCTCCCGGCGCCACCCGGCGCCGGGAGGCGGCCATATACCGAGGCATGGGCCCCTCGGTGAGGCCGAAACCAGCTGCATGCAGCAAATTTCGTCACCCCCCCTTTCCCAATCCCCCCCTTCCATCCGGCCCGAATATGGTATGGGAGGCCCCCATGAATTGCCAGGACATGCAGACGCTCTGGCCGCCCTGGGACAGGCTCTGCTCCCGCCTGGCCCGACCCCCGACGAGACCGGCCGTCCCGGCATTCCCAGAGGCCTGCCACGGCATGTTTCTGGAACGCGAAAAAAACGTGCCCAGAACAGGAGCAATGGCCTTAGAATAAGCCCGATGTGTCAAAACAAGACAGCCCCGGCCAGAAATGCTCTAAGAGCACTTCGTGCGAGCCATAAGAGGTTTTTCCCCACATGTTTCGTGGGGTTCTGGTTTTCTTCCCTGCCGCGGCGCACCCGCGTCTCACCTCACCTCACACCTCATCCCCTCTCTCCTCCTTCCTCTCCTCACCCGCGCTCAACGCGTGCACGGCAAGTACATGAGACACGCGTCTACATACGGCCGCGCGCATGCACACACTCGCACACAACACACACACACCATACAACGCTAGTGCGCGCCTGGCGTGATCACTGCAGCGTCCATTGAGGCGTGTGCGCGACATAGTGGGCACCCACATGAGACACGTCCCGATGTAGCCGCACACACATCATACACATACAAATACCATGCCATATACAAGACGTGTAGGACTCTCAGTGGATGGCAGGAGGCTCTATGCAGGCCATGGCGCAGGGCACTTTCTCGACACCACAGGGGGTGCGCAGGGGGTGGTCTCTCACCGCGGTCCCTATACGCGCCAATGTCGCAGGGCCTAGCAGGCGTGGCACTTTCTCGACACCGGAGGGGGTGCGCAGGGGGTGGTCTCTCACCGCGGTCCCTATACGCGCCAATGTCGCAGGGCCTAGCAGGCGTGGCACTTTCTCGACACCAGAGGGGGTGCGCAGGGGGTGGTCTCTCACCGCGGTCTCTATACGCGCCAATGTCGCAGGGCCTAGCAGGCGTGGCACTTTCTCGACACCGCAGGGGGTGCGCAGGGGGTGGTCTCTCACCGCGGTCTCTATACGCGCCAATGTCGCAGGGCCTAGCAGGCGTGGCGCCAATGTCGCAGGGCCTAGCAGGCGTGGCACTTTCTCGACACCAGAGGGGGTGCGCACGGGGGTGGTCTCTCACCGCGGTCCCTATACGCGCCAATGTCGCAGGGCTTAGCAGGCGTGGCACTTTCTCGACACCAGTGGGGGCGCGCAGGGGGTGGTCTCTCACCGCGGCCCCTATACGCGCCAATGTCGCAGGGCCTAGCAGGCGTGGGCTCTCTCGACACCCAGGGGGCGCGCAGGGGGTGGTCTCTCAGCGCGGTCCTATCCACGCCATGTCGCAGGGCCTAGCAGGCGTGGCACTTTCTCGACACCACAGGGGGTGCGCAGGGGGTGGTCTCTCACCGCGGCCCCTATACGCGCCAATGTCGCAGGGCCTAGCAGGCGTGGCACTTTCTCGACACCAGAGGGGGTGCGCAGGGGGTGGTCTCTTCCTCGACAGGGCCTAGAGGCGTGGTCGCGCAGGGGGTGGTCTCTCACCGCGGCCCCTATACGCGCCAATGTCGCAGGGCCTAGCAGGCGTGGCACTTTCTCGACACCACAGGGGGTGCGCAGGGGGGGGTCTCTCACCGCGGTCCCATACGCGCCAATGTCGCAGGGCCTGGCAGGCGTGGCACTTTCTCGACACCGGAGGGCGTGCGCAGGGAGTGGTATCTCCCCATACGCGCCAATGTCGCAGGGCTTAGCAGGCATGGCACTTTCTCGGCACTGGAGGGGGTTCGCAAGGGAGGGGGTCTCTCACCGCGGCCCCTAAACGCTGCCTCGCAGGCGTGGCACTATCTCAACACCAGAGGGGGTGCGCAGGGGGTGGTCTCTCACCGCGGCCCCCCCTCGAACTTTTCCCCGATGAAGGATGGAATGCGGGGAAGAGGGAGGAGGTTCGCTTAGTAGTGTGTTGGATGACAATATAGGGAAACATTCGCGACGAGGGTTTAGAACGCAGGTTTCCGCATAGATGATCATGAAAAGCCAACACATAAGATTTAAATTAGGTATGTGGGGTTCCTCGGTAGCGTAATTGGAACGTTCTTTGGTTGGCCTATAGGCAAGCCAGGACGCCTCGCCGCTGCTTGACCCTGGAGCCCAAGTGGGACGAAAAATGTGAGCGTTCGCTTACTCGGCGTTCCGACATTTGGCGGGAAGGGGGAGGTGGTGGGGTCTGGCTCCGGACCTCTGCTTAGTGCGACTATTTGCAAACAGTGCGTCCTGTGGGGGGGAGACTCCACCTGCTCGAAACAGGCACCAAAGAA